TTTGGAACAGTGACTGGCACTTCCATAAGTTAAAAGTTGAGATTTAGATTTACATTTAGATTTAGATTTCACTTAAAGCAGAGATTCAACCACTTTGTTACACATGAAGAAAGTGAGAGTAGAGGACTAACCTTTCAAAGATACCTTTTTCAAAATGGCCACTGACTCACATTTTTCTCAATGAGACTGATGCCAACCTGCCCTCAAAGAAGATGGCGGCCTGAGTCCACAACTTCCCTGAGTGCAGCTTGGCTTCACTCTCATTGAGAAAAATGGGAGGCAGTGGTCATTTTGAAGGAGGGTTTCTTTGCAAAGGGCATTTTTAGCCTCCTCCCACTGAGACCAATAGGAGATGGCAGCTATTCTGAAAGAGGAGAGTTCTTTGTGAAATTCTCTATAGTAGAACATTATTCTTCAGCCCATGTTGATGAAGAAACTTTCAGTTATAAAGAATAATGGCAAAAATCACCATTATTCCTATTTTCAAAATTGACCTGTTGAACCAGATCTACTCATATTTATATTTAAGAGGTGAGAATTTCACCACAGTTCTAGCCCCTTTATGCCACATGAAAGGGCCAGAGCAGTATAAGGGGGCCTTAAAAGCCCAACATTTTGCCAGGGGAGAACTCCTCCATTGCAGGAGCTGTGAAAGTCAGCCCTAAGGCTGTCTTCTTAGGACCCTTTTGCAAGCCCTTGGTTTAGGAGGTATATACCAGGGGCAGGAAGGGTGTGTTGGGGGTGGGACAGCAGCACTGAACACTGCAGAGATTTCAGGCCAACAGGGCAGCCATAGGAGGTTAAAAGAATGAGGAGTACTTGTGGCTTAGTACCTTAGAGACTAACCTCTCCAGCTCCCAGAAGAAGCCCAAGATTGGGAGGTCAAAATGATGGCTTAAAGCCAGCCTAGTACCTCCTCCCACCGTTTGTTTTTCTTTTCTTATGTTCTTGCTTCAGTGCTACTTATAAACTTTTTTCTAAAAGGTATTTTTAAACTTGTTTTAAGGCAAATACATCTTCCTTTTTTTGCTTCACTTCCTTTTTTTGAGGGGATGTATTTTTTCTGTTTACATTCATAGAGGTTTCAGTTCTCTTTCTAATTATTTTTATACTTTTATTGTGTTTTCTTTCACCCTTTTATTCTACGTATTTAGCACTTGTTTCAATTTAATTAAAAAATCATGGAATCTTGTCTTTTCTATTTGAATCCTAACATTCTTACTCAGGTAAACTTCCCTGGGAGTAAAACTTCAGGAGTGGAAACCTAGATCTATTGAAATCAATTTGATTTCAGTAGATCTATGTTTCCACTCTTGAAGTTTTGCTCCCAGGGAAGTTTACCTGAGTAAGATAAACCCCAACAGTATTGGATTTCACCCATCATATTTAAGTTTTTCTCTGCTGTTTTCTACAGCAAGTGAAACATTTAAATCAGTTTTGCAAACAGAAAAAAGCTTTTATTTTTATTATTTGTATCTGCCCTAAGAAAGATGATACCCTGTATATGGCACTGCTGCTAAACATTAGTACCTCACACCTCTATCTGTCAAGTATCAGAGGGGTAGCAGTGTTAGTCTGGATCTGTAAAAGCACCAAAGAGTCCTGTGGTACCTTATAGACTAACAGACATATTGGAGCATGAGCTTTCGTGGGTGAATACCCACTTCATCGGATGCATGTCATGTAGGTATTCACCCACGAAAGCTCATGCTCCAATACGTCTGTTAGTCTATAAGGTGCCACAGGACTCTTTGCTACCTCTACCTGTGATGCTTAACAGTAATATGCTGTTTGTAGCTGAAAATACCCTTGTTGCTTGTGTGAATTATTAAGTCTACATAAATACCGATGACTATGAAATCCACCGTTGAAAGTTATACCTAACAGTATGCTAATTGGGGATGAGCAGAGAATATTTAAACATCAGAGGTTAAAATTAAAGAGACAACTTGAAGCTCTGGTTCTGCAAGTAGCTAAAGAATTTTGCCTTGACGACATGGAGTGTCACTTAAGCATTCTTCATGTCTTCACTTCAAAAGAGAAGAGGTGAACATTAGTTTCTCTTTTACTTTCTAGACAACAGCAGAGTTCAGGGTTCTGTTTTCCTATCACCCTGGCTGGAAACATCATTAATGTGCAGATCAGTGTAAGGAGTCCAGCTTCCTTTATTTTGTTGTTGTTAGCAATGTGGTCAACTTCAGCTGCAGACACATAGATTCCGAAATGGTAGAACTCAGGTCCTAATGGGCAAGAAGCCTTTTGCTTAGCTCTAAAATGTTGGTGTTGTAGGATGGTGGTTTGTGCTTTTGTAAATGGCAAACCCACAAATCCTCATTCAAAACAGATGTATGGACTTGGAGCTTAATGGAGCACAGAAATGTGAGACCATGCTACTGTGCTGAGAGTGGGGCTGGCATTGGTTGTGTCACACACCGAGTGCCTCACCGTGTCTGGCTCCAGCTAAAGCTCTGACACTGGCCTATGGTCTTCCTCCTCTGTCCTGACTTTTTAAACATTCTCTCCCCTGCTGGTGCTGATAACTGGGGCAGGGACGTGCTCTCTTTGCTCTTGCAGCAGCTTTCTTGGGGTTGTCATGGGAATGAAGAGGAACTGGCTGGCAGTCTACAGCAAGAGAGGCCCTCACTATCTTCCTGCTCCTCTTGATTACAGCAGAAGCTACCAAGACAGCCATAATTGCAAGCACTGAGCCGTTGAGAATGAGTGAAGGCAACTGTCACCAGCTTCCTGTGAAGGAGGAGACAGCCTCAAGTTCCACCTCCCATCCTTTCACTTGCCGATAGGATTGTGAGTCTTTGGCCCATAAACTGTACACATTTGTAGCTGTCTATGATGAAATAGTGACCCAAATTACCTAGCAGCTCCGACACCCTGGTAATGTGCACACTGTCAAAATCTAGACACCTAGGTTACTGTAGACAAACTAATGCTTTGAAAGGTCTGTTGTAGCAATATATAATACATCACATTAGACTGAATATGGGGATATAAAGTTATATGCTCTTGCTTAAGATCAAGTCTAAGCACCAGACCATAATACAGAGTAAAAGATCAGCACAGACCACCTTCTCACTTGTGCACCGTCTTTCTCTCAAGAAAACGACTTGGTGTGTGGTTGGCACCCAAAGTTCGAGATCTAATTCTCTTTCCTGCCATGATCACAGACAAGGACATATGGGAGATGATGGATTTCTTTCATATTATCTATAGTAGAGCCGTTGTGTATCCATATTTTTATCGCACACATCAAGCATTGCTCCAAAATGCACCAAGCAGGATACATGTTCACTTTTCAGTGGCACTGTACCTATCATAAGGGTCTACAGCACATTGTATATACATCCCTGCTCTTCAGTAGTAAAACACTGCTTTGGAGTATCTAGGAAGGGCTGCTACCAGAGTGGTACAAGGCACTTTCACTTCTACTGGAGGCTGCGCATACTACATCTGCAACATATTTCAGCCCCTGCTATCCTAGAATTAAATTCTCCTATATGATAACGCTGATAACTGCTGCTAGACCAATTATATCAAACACATCTGGGATAAAAAAAAACAAGCCCAATGCAAATGCTTTACAGATTCACATAGGAGTGCTACAGTAATTTAGATGCTCTACTTACTTTTCTGAACACAGTGGTCTGGTATGGGAGCTAGATTGTTCCGTACAGGAGTAAGGTCTTTTACTTTGGGTCGGTCTAGGGACATCTGTTGAAAACTTTTCCCTGTGATAGAAAAATATATATATACTATATGTACTTGGAAATAATATGGAGCATGACAGTACTCTACTTGCTGGTAGACTAACAACTTCTGTGTTAATATTCAGAAATGGGTACCTTCATGTCTACAGAAAACCAACTGAAAATGGCTAGACAGAAGGTCAGTGGTGATTGCTGATATTTATTTATTTACATTCATTTATAAAAATGAGTTCACATCATTAAGTTGTGCACATAGAAAGTCTACATAACAATATGACCTTGTTACTGTCACTCTGGTTCCCATTCTCTCATATTGTGCGTAACACTCATTTGTATTGTCTTGTTTAAAACTGGCCCAAAATTGTGTAACTAGATCCACATAGGAAGCCAATAGGGCTCAACACTTCCGTGTGCGTCCATCCGTAGTATACACAGTTTGCTGTTCTCACTTCTGAAATGAGGCATTGAAGTCTGTGTTTCTTAGTTACTCTCCTCTATGTAGACAAGTGTAATTCATCTCACCAGTCCTGGACCAAAGGCCTGATTCAAAGCCCACTGAAAGCAATGGGGATCTGTCCACTGGCTTCTATGGGCTTTGGATCAGGGCAAAATAGCTTTGCTAAAATATGAAGAACACCTGTGGAAATCAGAGATTTTGCCCCATCACTAGAGTCTAAATGCCGATGAACTCCCTAGACCTGCTTTTCCTTTTGTTCGCATTCTGTTTAGTCCCTAATACTTGTGCCAAACGGCTGTAAAATGCTGTCACTATCTTACATCCTCTTTGCACTGGGATAAATGACTACATAAGCTTCAAGGTAGCAGAGAATGTCCATCTGCTTCCATTACTATAGTCAAGTTGTGTTTGCTGTGTTGCGATGCTTTAAATTGGAAACTGTTGGTTTTGCTTAATTTGTATGTATGCATATGAGATTGACTGTTGGATTTTGTTATTTCTTGAAAGAAAAGGACTTATTTCATAAATGGGGTAGTGTGGTGAAATAATGGCAATAGAGTATAATTATATGCTTTGATATGTATGACTGGGATACAATGGATGTGTTATTCCTTGACTTTAGCAAGGCTTTTGATACAGTCTCCTACAGTATTCTTGCCAGCAAGTTAAAGAAGTATGTGCTGGATGAATGGACTATAAGGTGGATAGAAAGCTGGCTAGCTCATCGGGCTCAACAGGTAGTGATCAATGGCTCCATGTCTAGTTGGCAGCCGATATCAAACGGAGTGCCCCAAACGTCAGTCCTGGGGCCGGTTTTGTTCAACATCTTCATTAATGATCTGGAGGATGGCGTGGATTGCACCCTCAGCAAGTTTGCAGATGACACTAAATTGGGAGGACTGGTAGATACGCTGGAGGGTACGGGATAGGATACAGAGGGACCTAGACGAATTAGAGGATTGGGACAAAAGAAATCTGATGAAGTTCAACAAGGACAAGTGCAGAGTCCTGCACTTAGGATGGAAGAATCCCATGCACTGCTACAGATTAGGGACTGAGTGGCTAGGCAGCAGTTCTGCAGAAAAGGACCTAGGGGTTACAGTGGACAAGAAGCTGGATATGGGTCAACAGTGTGCCCTTGTTACCAAGAAGGCTAATGGCATTTTGGGCTGTATAAGTAGGAGCATTGCTAGCAGTTCGAGGGACGTGATCATTCCCCTCTATTTGGCATTGGTGAGGCCTCATCTGGAGTACTGTGTCCAATTTTGGGCCCCACACTACAAGAAGGATGTGGAAAAATTGGAAAGAGTTGAGCAGAAGGCAACAAAAATGATTAGGGGGCTGGTGCACATGACTTAGGAGGAGAGGCTGAGGGAACTGGGATTATTTAGTCTGCAGATGAGAAGAATGAGGGGGGATTTGATAGCTGCTTTCAAGTACCTGAAAGGGGGTTCCAAAGAGGATGGATCTAGACTGTTCTCAGTGGTAGCAGATGACAGAACAAGGAATAATGGTCTCAAGTTGCAGTGGGGGAGGTTTAGGTGGGATATTAGGAAAAACTTTTTCACTAGGAGGGTGGTAAAGCACTGGAATGGTTTACCTAGGGAGGTGGTGGAATCTCCTTCCTTAGAGGTTTTTAAGGTCAGGCTTGACAAAGCCCTGCCTGGGATGATTTAGTTGGGGATTGGTCCTGCTGTGAGCAGGGGGGTGGACTAGATGACCTCCTGAGGTCCCTTCCAACCCTAATATTCTAATCCTTGTTGTTGGTTAAAAGGTCTGGAATAAAGTGGATGTATATCGGTATGCAGAGAGAATTTCTCTTCCCCCAAATATTTAATTTGGCCCAAAGTACATTGATGGCATTTGTTTTTGTATGGGGTAGTAAGGATATGCTGTTTTGATTGCAAAATGCTGTAATCTTTGCTGGCATTTTATTACATTGCGAGTTTTATGAAAGCTGGCACTGCTGCTGTGTTGTTGCTATTTGCACCCCATTTACAAATGGGCACATGATCCCTCCAGTGGGGTTTCATGTAGCACAGAAATAACTTCTGATACATACATGCTCTAATAAATTTGTTAGTCTCTAAGGTGCCACAAGTACTCCTGTTCTTTCTGATACATAGGATATCATAAATTACCCCTTAGCTTTGAAAAGGGGAGCAGGTCATACAGATCAGCTATTGCCAGTTCCTTGCCCTCTCTGCCAAAACATGCTCCCTTTTTTATTATTAGCCCATTTTTTTAGATTACCTACCATGGCACTCAAGATGTACTAGGTGCTGTACAAACACATAACAAGGTATAGCCTTGTGCCTGATGGCTTAGCAATATACACAACAAATAAATGAACGATAAAGAAGGGCGAGAGATGATTCCATGGTGGTGGGAAACATCTTGTGCACCTGCCTTTCCACCCCATACAGGGGTTCCCTTTCCGTAATTTATCTCCTTTCTGTTCCACAGAGTGGATGAAGGGTTGTGTCTGTTTTACAAAGGGATATACTGGCAAGGCTCATTTAAGCAAAATGTTCTGTATTGCTGATGCCAACTCAATGCTACAGTTGACAGGAGTTTCTGCTGCAATATTGCCAATGCTTTTTGGGATAGTTGATCATCCTTGTTCTACAAAGGTCACACACTGATGGAGACAATCCAAGATAAAGTGTTTTTTCTCCAAATTTGTGCCAGTGGTAAGATGGTAAGGTTCAAAATGCCCAATGCTACCAACACCAAACTCACTTGACATTTATTCAAAGGGCAATCAGTAGATAGATCAGCCGAGCTTTCATTTCTAAGAGTATAAAAAAACCACACAAAAAATCCCGTTTCATGACAGATGTCTCAGTAGCATTAGCATAAAATATAGTTCTAAATTTTAGCAAAGATAACTCCATATAAGGGCTTAAATGCTGAATTTCAGCTGAGATAATGACTTGCAAATTAACTTGTTACTAAAAAAAAAACCCCCAAATGACTGATAACCATAATTCTGTACTATATTTTCAGTGTATAGGAAGTTATATGTAGCAACTACTGTCAGTACTGAAAACGGAGGAAAAGAATATTAACATTTAATTACTATAAAGAGCCAAATGTCTGTCTCTCTCTCTAAACCCTACCCCCTGTGCAAGATGAAGTAAATGGGCTTTATGAAAGGGCCTCCCCTATATCAAGCCCAGCTGTCTGGTGGGGAACCTTAATTTACTTCCAAACCTCTACAATTCTGCAGGCAGGGAAATGCTGTGAAAGCTACAGAGGACTAAAAAGCCAGAGCTAAAGTAAGAGCCATGAGTCTCTGAATTCATAAAGTAAATGGAGTGTTAATAACAGGGATTCAGGTGTCCCTGATTACAGCAGCAGACAGATTTTAGACAACACACACAGCTCTTTTCTATCATCATATCTTAAGACAATACCTGGGCTATGCAATATATTCCCATCAACTAGCGATCTGCCCTTGTTTTATTCATTTCAATGGATGTCCTCTCTTCTAGCTTACGGGAATCTTCTTATTGTTGGAAAATTTTCTTTGTTAAAGAGCAGCTGAGCCTGTATACAGACTACTGAACTCTCACAGTGCTCCAGCTTTATTTAGTAAGTTAATTTTCTAACTGTAATTTGTAAATTGCAAACCATTAGAGATAAGGGGATACATTCTTCCCTTCGATACACAAAGAGAGCTCCCACCATAATGAGTTAACTGTTTCCTGTAGGTTCCATACTTGGGCCATGATCCTGCAAGCAGACCCATGCAGGAAGACCTTTACACCTGGAAGTTAATGGGGTCTCTATGTGGATACAAGTGTCCACTGTGCAGATTCATTTGCAGGATTGGGGTTTTAAGACACAGAAAACTCTTGGAAAGATAGCAATTAGATGATCCTGTCTGTGCCTCCATCTCTCCCTCCCTCCAGCATAGTAGGATTGACCTTTACCATATTACACCTTCTTAAGAAAAGCCAACAATGTAGATTTAAATTACTTAAGTGACAGGGCTTTCATCATTTCCCCAGTAAAACTACTCCACAGTCAACAGACAATTCCTTTGGGGAATGTTTCCAAATATACAGCCTCCGTTTTCCTTTATTCAGTTTTATCCCATTTCTCTTAGTGAAAACCTCTTGCATGATCCTAAACGATTCCTCAGCCTCCTTGGTAGCTATTTACACTTGGGTTGCAAAAAAGTCCGACAGGATTTGTTTCATACGGGTTGTGTGAGGTGAACCCTGATGAATTCAATCTAGAGGTGATTGCATCACATCAATCACAGCTAGTTCCCTGGAGTCTTGGGTGCATTTAGTGAGAAGGATGGCAAAGGGGAAGGTGGGGAAAAAACATCTAGGCAGAGATCTAGGGTCCCAGACTGTGTGAACTTAATCAGCCAAGGTCTGTCAAACTTTTAGGGACCTGGCTCTACTTAACCCCCTACAAATAATTTCTAGCCCTTATTTTCACAGCATCAGTTATTCTGAAATTATCTTGTCTACAGAATCTCTATTACAAATGTAATGAAAGTTCAGCTACTGTGCAGTAAGTAGCTTAGTGGATTGTTCAGTTTTCACTGCTATGCAGGAGGCAGCCACGGCTCAATAGTGATGCATCTGACCAGTTAGGAGTAGGTGTCAGAAAGGAGTCCTTGCCAGTCCTCCTTGAACTGAAGAGTAGTGGGCTCTGACATGGTCCCTCAGCAGCAGCGGTGGTAGATACAAATACTTAAATTACATCTATTCTTGGAATTGGTGTACAAATGTGGGGGGGGGTGTTTAATTTTCAGTTAGCATCTAGATATTATGATGGTTGGTGCACTACAAGATCCCACTTTGGGAAGGTACATAAGCATGTGCTGAAATTGAAGCATGCGAGAAGTACAATTGGGAATGAAGTTAAAATTGCTCGTATGCTTAAATTATTTCCTGAACCAGAGCCTGACAGACAGATTCATGAAGAGACAGACGTGAATCAAAACATGGGATCCCAAACTGCCAAACATCAGCTCCAAATTCACTTCAGAACCTTGTAGCTCAGACTCATCTTTCGTTTCATTATCATTACAGAACAGCTTACAAAATACTAGGTAAAAGCATTTACTCTCTCAGTAAATTTAGCAACTTTAATTCAGCACTGAAGACAACATAAACTTGAACACAGCACATATAACTGAAGTGCTGAAAAGACAATATATTAACTAAAAATCTCTTAAGATGCTGTTTTGGGAATCCTACTGCATACAGGAAGAATAAACTAAAAAAATTAGAAATATCAGCACTCAGACTTACCTATATTTCCAACATGCCCCTATCCAACCTGCCATGTCTGTAGAGATTAGATGATACGGGGGATATTGAACAAAGAAATTACCTGATGGAGAACTAGGCAGATAGGGAAGGTGGGGAGGGCACAAAAGCACATGGCTGGATCTTTCAGAGAGCAAACCATCTATCAGTTTATCTGAAGAAGTTGCAGTACAGACTTTATACGAGAGTATTTGGTTAGCATCTGTGTTCCAAGGATTGTCTGATAAAGTCTGGCAGCTACTTCTGTGATCTAACAAGTCATGTTCACTTCTACTTTTCTGAGATCTGTGTGCAAAATGGTAGGCATTAGCACCCAAGGAGACACTTGAAGTTGCACTCTGGGAAGTTGTTAGAAAAGAATTGCCTATAGTAATGGGGGGGAGACTTTGTGTTCTTATTGGAGGAAGTCCATTACACTCTGGCTGCTTCTTTTCTGATATGAGGTACTTCTGGGTGTCTGTGCTCCTTCTTTTAAAGTCAACAGTGGACATACATTCCTCGGAGTTGTCTTTACAGTTTGTGTCCATAATGCAATCAAACGTAGTGATAATGTCATCAACTTCCGAGGTCTCTTCCCTTTGATATCTGTCTCTGCCTCTGTCTTTCTGGTTTGTTTTCTGATCATCTTTCTTCTTTTTGCAGGAGAAGATTTGGTTAAGCATACTGAATCTTGCTTCCTTCTTTAGGATTTTATTGTTCTGTGAAGGAGGGTGATGGACTGGCTCCGATCTACTAGAAAATAATAAACAAATAAATATGAGAACA